TGCCATTTAAACATTTAAAATAATAGTATTTTTCAAAGCTAAAATTTGATTTAAAAATTTTCACAGCGAACTATCTTATCTATCTTTTTAAATATTTGAAATGTAGTTGGAACCAAACCAAATAACGTAACATGACCAATTTTGCTATCATAATCAGCTAACTGACGAATCAGTTGATGCATCATCTGGTTATAGCAAATATTTTTGTTTTCGCACATATTAAATATAAATGTATCAAATAAGCAATTCAAAAGCGTCATATAGTATATTCCTGTTATTGTTTTCCCTTCTTCGAGGTAGTCATGTGCATAGCAAACAATAGTAGCTTTAACTTACATAGGTACATCAGAATTGCTCAAGAGTATAAACTCAATTTCAAATATACTTGAAGCAAACTAGAGATAAAGCCACTTAATATTGTAATTCATTTTCTCAATTAATGGAAGGACTCAAGCGTACGTCCAAGGTTCTTTTGGCTTTATTTTCCAAATCGGTAAAGGGTCAAAGGATCAAGCAATATACATAAAGTAGTATTCACAAGTTCTGAAAAGGCCTACAGAGTTTACAATCAGATGTGTCAAGCGTACAGAAAAATTTGAATATTAGTGCCAAACTGTCGGCTGGACGAATGTTAATAGATTTAAAAGCACTCACAGTGACTATTTGTTTTTTCTTGATCCTTCGAATACAAAACAGTTAAAGTGATCAATATTTATTATTTTCTAGGTAGGAATATCATCATAAGAAAGTACAAAAATTATTGTCAACATCGGTGGAGTAACAATTTTTTTCAGATGAAATTGAGAGTCTAAACTAAATAATTAGACAGTTAATAAGATTCATACATGAGAGATAAAAACTAGGAAAATTAACCAGCGAAGGCAGTATTACTTTCATGGTGTAACAGATGACAGCATATAATGGGAACTGAAAACTTTTCAAAATCATTACTTTGAAAGCATAAATATCATCAAAGTTGAAAAAAACTACAGTATTCAAATGGACTAAAGCAAGATCAGTGCTCATCTAATTTGTGAAGAAATAACTTAGTTGATTATATTATAGGTAAATGTCTTTAAAGGCTTTAATGCTGACAATGTAGAACTTTCTTCAATTTGTAGGCATGTAATACAGATAACAACAACAAAAAAATCCGTTTCCCCCTGATAAACCAGTGTGTGTAATTTATAGAGCACAATCATCATGAAAACTTTATTGTTTTGAATGTTCTTTCACATCTTGAGTATAGTTGTGACTCATCTCTCATCGACGTAAGAATTTACTTCAATTATAATACTTTATATACAAGCACTGAAGAAATTATAACTGCAGTCAAATTTTCATACTTCGCACTTCTATAACTCGAATTTTCTATAACTCCAACTAAATGGAGTGCAACTGGGTTTAGAGAGCAAATTACGTATTATAAAAAAATACTTTAACTCGAAGTCTCAATAAGCCGAATCATTTCTTTGCAAAATGGTACTTCGAGTTATGGAAGTTTGACTATATATGCTTTGAATCCACTGTGAATAAACGTGGTATGCATTTCGTTGACAATTTTTTTGTATAGTAAATGTTTTTATCACATATTATGGATGCGTTTAGTTAAGATCACATATTTTCATAGTATCTTTATATCCGATAACGCAGAGGAATAGCAGAGAGGAATGCAAAATTTTTTAAATTTTTTATTAAAATCAAAAATATTATTGTTTCAGATCGTAAAGATTAGTTTGTTAAACATGGATGATAGTTTATTTCAGAAAGTATCAATCAGCGCTATGTACGAATAGTGGCATTACAATATCTAGCTGTTATTTTAGTTAAATTTGCAGTTTATGTATTTTGAAGCTTATCTGGATAATATTACTTCTTAGTTAGTTATTAAATGGATATCAGCATAATCTATGTTTTGAACAAAATTTCGATGATATATTAGAATGCTTAAATTTGGGTAAAAAAAAGCATTCGACATTAGTTTTTTTTTCTTTTTAGACAAGTACTCGTGGATAGAAGCGGGAGATTTCTAGCTAAAACGGTTAGCATCTTCTGTCAGCCTTTTATTGTATTATTTTTTTCTACTGTCAAATTCAGCTTTAACTAAGGCAATTAAACATTAGTAATTCAAAATTATACTGCGATTCATTAAAGTATTGCTACTACATATACATAGTGTTTTGTTATTCAACAAAAATTGCCTTCGAATTAGGTATTTCATTAAGTCCACTATGTTGTTTTCAATCATTCTAGAGATTCCTAAATGGCGACGTCTTACCCGCAAGTCAATACCACTTTTTTGGTTTAATACATCACCGTAAGAGACATAATCTGAAATTTTTCTTTGGCTACACAAAAATGACAGACTATTCAGCTTTTTTACTTTCAATATGAGTAATGCCCAACATCATTTGTCAAACATTTCGGTTGCCGGTAACAATAACGGTAAGTACTCGTACCTTTTATGACAAAATTATTATATATCTACTGGTTTTCATAGAATTAATACATTATATAAATCATTCCCAAAATCATAACATATAAGTGTAAGAAAAGTGTGCTGGTAAACATTTTTAGTAAACCATGACATTTGATTTAATAAATTATAAAGAATAAATAATTTCAAATATTTTACTTATAAGTTTTATTTTTTTAGGTATATATTGTAACAAAATATCTTGTGAAATTATTTACCCGTAAAACAATATGTCTGAAGAAATAAGTACTGATTCATCTGACACTAGTTCGATTGAAGATAGTCAATTAAAGAAAATTCAAATTGAGATTAACTTTAGTAAAGCTTTCACCAATCAGCTAGCGGAACAAGTTGCGGGCAGAATATACAACAAACTGTGTTTAAATAACGAAGTTCTAAAAGGTTTCTTAGCACGTGATGCATGTGGATCCACGGACAACATCGAAACTTTACCGTGCAATGAGAGCGATGATACCACTTCAGAATGCGTAAAATTTGTACCAGAGGTAGATATAATACTATATATATATATCCATTATATATATATATATATCTATATACATATTCTGATATTTTTTTATTATAATATATATTTTTTATAAATATTATAATTATATTTTGCAGGAAATTAAAAACTCAAGTGACAGTGATATAATGCAAGCACAGTTGGTTGATGCATACATTTCCGATGATCATGTGGCATATGTTACTTCTGATAGTTCCAATGAAGATTTAATCCATAGTGCAAAAGATCGTCATCCATCTGCTAACGGGCGTAAGGCAAAAAAGCGTAAGGCGATAAAAACTCGCAAAGTGGCAAAAAAGCGTAAGTTGAAGAAAGAGTACGATGAGGATTAAATACTGAAGAACTGCAACTTCTTTGATATTAGCCGCATTAGTTTGCTCTTTGAGAAACTGGAACGGTATTTTTATATACTAATATAAAATAACGAAAAAGACTTAAAAAGGGGAGGCATCATAACAAAAAAAAATAAATAAAAATTGCACCAAGGTTATCATAAGGAGAGGTGTTGAAATATTGCGAGCAGAAATCAAAAACAGACAAAACTATACATACATAATAATAATATATTACTTCTTTATTTATGCTCAAAATTAAATGTTTTTTGTATTAAATTAATAAGGAAAATATGTTGTTTTAATTCTTAAATATGTATATCTAATATCGAAGATGATTTTTGTATTATATATTACACATTTCCAAAATTTTAAAGTCATAAATTATTCTTTCGGACGAAACCTGAACAATACATTTGAAAAATCAAATATTATATATTGTCGCCGTTTGAAATTTTGTGGGACTTCGTTCTCAGGGATGTTTATAATAATGATTTAATAAAGAAAAAACTTGAGATATCTAGAAATGGTATCCCCACGTATTAAATAGAGACACACCTCGAACAAAAATCAAACAAATTTACTAAGTCCTATGGATTGCATTACTTAAGCTAAAATAAATTTTGTGCATTTCGAACGAAAATACTATTTCAGAGGTCAATTTTGGTTATTGTCGGTATATGACAGACTAATGATTTGTAATGCAACCTATGTAGTAACTCTTAAAAATTACATCCCATTGGATGTCTATGGAAGCATTTAAATGAATGTTTGTGATATATGAAGAAAATAACTATTATTAAACATTGATATTAACCCTGTCTTAAACATTAACCCTATGAAGCAAATATTTTGTACTTAAAGGTCATTTTTTAGAGAAACTCATGTGTTTTGCAAACGTCAAATAACGAAATTATTGTTTTCAATGTAAATTAAAAAATTAAGAAAGGGATTAAGACAGACATTTCGATTTAAATTTGGTTTCGGAGAAGAGGCTTTCGGTATCTCATTGGAAATTTTTTTCATAAATGCAAAGAAAGATATGTTATTTTTCATATATAGGGAAAAATATCATAATTTCTAGTAAAGAAAAAAAGTAATTCAGTTTTTGGATTACTAGCCATACTTATGTCATACTAATGCCATACTAGCTATACTAATGCCATACTAATGCCAAACTAATGCCAGACTAATGCCATACTACTGTCATACTAATGCTATATTAATGTCATACTAATGTAATACTAATGTCATACTAGCCATATTAATACACTAGTATATATAAGTAGAAGTTAGTCCACAAAAAGTTTTATATAGAAAATATATATTTTATATAATTTTAATCTTGAAATAAAGAAGAAGAATTTAATTGAATTTAAAATTAATTAAAATTTGGACAAATTTTAATGTGCTGAAGTTCTTGTATGGAGCGTCATTAAATATTGCTTTGGAAATTTATTGAATTTACATTATATTATACTTTAAAATACCAACGAAAAATTTAATAAAATATTCAATGAATAAATTTATTTCAAATAAATTTTAATAACTGTTTTTATATATATATTTTTTGTGAGGTAACTATATTGTTTAGTTTCTCTTTAGTGTGAAAACTTAAATGCATCAACAGTTTGATTTTATTTCGAAATTCTATTGACTATTTTATTAAATTTTATTCCACATCAATTTATTGATATTTGACATTATTTGCTTATGATAATCATTGGAATAGTTATATGTCCTATCATTATGTTCTATTCGACGCTGCGTACTGAGTTTCCATAATTATTTTAAAAGCTGCAATTTGGAATTTGGCAAACCAGCATGCAGCATTTGCTGTACTGCTGCTGCGTCAAATAACAGGCAGACAACACCTGTGTTTGCTCTTTTTTGTATGTCCTGCGACTGATTTTGGCATTTGGCCAACTAAATTCATATTTATTTACTGGAACATAAAGCACCAGGTCTTTGTGGATTTGTCTGCACAATGTTGTCTTTGGATTTTATTTATTACTTGTAAATTTTACACAATATGGCATTGAACCACAATGTCAACGGTGGAATGTTTTGTACTCGTAATAATGCATTCTTAACTGCCTGAACCTGAACAACAGAAAGCAAATTTTTATTAAAATACTTGTAAAATACCTGGTTTAGAATAAGGAAATAAAACATTGGTTAACATAAGAATTTGTGTCTTTATTCTAGCTGAGCTTGTAAGAGCAGTCATTTCTCATGGAGTTTATTTTATGTGGTTTTACACTAGGGTTTCGTGTATACCAATTGCTTATAATATTATATATTATTATTTTGACAAAAATACTTTTATAATTTTTGACCATAAATCACTGTCTTTAATAAAAAATTTAACTCTCATTATTAGAAGCGACATTTTCTTGAAGTGGAGTGAAAATTTGCTAACGAAGACTAGGCATAATGTAAAAAATTTGATATACAAATATGGAAGTAAATAAGTTTTAGGTTTCCAAATATTTCTACGTAACTAAAATAATAAAAATAGTGTTTATAATTTATATGCAAAATTTATATAAAACATAAGTATATATAAAGTAGTTTTAATAATAAATATTTATAAAATCCGCGCCATTTAAATTAGAAAACCGTAATTTTAATTTCACTAATAAAGGAAACTCGAAAGTGCATAAAAGATATTTCATACCATCAGCATATATCAGTTGTCTAATCCTGGTTCCATACCTGATGAATAAAGTATGTGCATAATGATTCTAATCTTCAAATAGAAACTCTCTTCACACGGCTTATGTTTTTTATGAAACACCGTGAGTATTTATAATATTCGAGAGAATTAATTATATACTCAGAGAATACATGATTTAAAATATTGAACAATAGGGGCTTACAAAAAATAGAGCAATTCTAGTTGCCATGTTTATTTTCCGAAAATTCAGAGAAAAGTAAGAAATTCATCAAAAAAGTGGAAAATTATTAGAAAAAATATCCAAAATAATGAAATATCATATTCTTTGATGATATAAAAATCACTAAGGGAAAATAAAACTATTCTTGTAGTTCTAATTATAAGTTTTCAATAACCTTAACACAAATGTAATACAAAATTCTTGCTAAGAGAATCATAAAGGCGTTATATTTATTTTAAATAGCTGGAGTTCAATAATGCGATACATAGTATATAGTATACTATAAAATGGCATAAAGTGGCATATATTTTTTTATGTTGGTACACCCTTTCTTGTCATATGGTACAAATTTGAGCGCCATCTGTCAATTAGTTTGTTTACAGCAACTGTTAATGTGAGACTACCTCAAGTGCATTTAGCGATTTTTACTATGGAAAATTCTTGTTGTACGCGATTTTTTGACTAAACACGGCACCACTGTCATCGCTCAGGCACCATATTCGCCAGATCTGGATCCGTGTGACTTTTTCCTGTTCCCGAAACTCAAATTGCCCCTTCGCTGAAGGAATTAAAAGCCATACCTTCACGGGGCTACGAAAAGTGTATGGAAGATTGGGTTAAGCGTTGGCATATGTGTATCGCTTCAGAAGGAGCATATTTTGAAGGAGATAAAGCAAATTTGGAATAAAATTTAAATTTGCGTGTTTTATTTATAAAATCCGAGTACTTTTTGAGCAGAAGGAAAGTGGCAATCAATAAGACATACAAATAAAACTAACAAAGACTAAGCAAGCATTTGGAATTCTCAATAACATATGCGGATCTTCAAAAATCTCTCTTTGTATCAAAATAATTTTATTCAACATCAACTTTGAAACTTCACTTTTCTTGACATTGACAGCTGAACAATTCAACCTTCAATGATCAACTTTAGCAAGATTTTCCCTACCGCTATCTTCTTTGCATTTTGTGAGTATTACGCCTTATCATAATATCAGAAACCAAATTTTCACAAATAGGAAACTTTCAATTACTTAAGAGAATATGGTATGCAATTATAATTAGCTTGGTCACAGTTTTTATAGATATCACTGAAAAAGTTCTTAAGTATAACCTTCAGTTCCTACATGCAGAGCTGACGGACTGCAAGAGCTGAAATGAAATTACATGATTGGCATATGATAAAGTTCATTACAAATTATTTGTAACGATTCTATGTTCCTTGTACGACTTCTAAGGTGTTGCTATATGTACTATATATGATAATGGATTAAAAGTTAATGACACTAACATTTGTTTGAAAAAAAGAAAGAGCTGGGATAAAACATGTTTATAGGACAACTGAAAGAAAGAAACTCGTCAGGCGATTTGACAGTTATTTTCAATGTTTTCAAATATTTTATGATTTTTAAATAATCAGCAAATTAATTATAATATAGCTATATATTATTTTATATATATAGAGTGTTACAACATTTTTAAATGGCGAATTAGTCAGTGCCCCTTTTTTGCAATACCAAAAATTAGGATTAATAACTTTTCTCATTGTCCACATAGGTTTAGTCTTTATCTAGTTTTTCAGTTTACTGTCTGATTTAAAGTAAAGTGATACATTTACTTACATCAACCTCTATTCATAAAATTTTATTTTTTAAATTTTTCATACAAATTTTTTGGATTGCAAATATCAGAAATTGAATTTTACAAATTTAAATCATGGACCTTCATGTTAAAAGAATTAATTTATGTTATTCAAATTCAAATTCAAATTTAAATTTTTATTGTTTGTTTGTAGATAACAACTAGAGTTGCGGTGTTATTTTCAGATTTCACCTTTTGTCGAAGTGACGACAAGAAGGGTTCGAATAGAAATGAAGAGACAGCAACAAAAATTTTAGTTAGTTTGTTGAAAATTTGACTGACCATACAACGCTGTTTCGAGTATTGCCATATACTCATCATCAGTGGTCTTAGAAATATTCGTATTTTTCAAATAATTTATAGTCAGTATATAATTTGTTTGGACGGCAAGTGCCAGGCTTAGAACTTGGAAGTAGAAATTTTTAATTAATTTAAGATTCAAATTTTAATGCTTCTAAAAGCATTTTATAATTTTATAAGTTAAAATACTGAAGAAAATCATACTAATTTAATTATAAAATTTTTAATAAAGGTATTTTCAGACCATAATGAATAACATCGTAAGAGGGAAAGAATATTTAGTTTAACAATATCCCCCATCCCCTTACTTACTTAATGTTATATACTCAGAATTTATTTTTTATCACAGTAATTTAATTTCGTTTTACGCATAAAGTGTCGTTATTTAATATTATCAATTTATACAACCAAGTACTTAAAATAAATTCATTTCGAGAAAGATTTCAGTTACCCATAAGCCTAATTTAGGCAATATATAGAATGATTTTTATGAACATGTGAATTATTTTTAATGTTCCTTCTCATGTTTTTATGCTTCAACTTTTTCCAAACAACTGAAAACACATTGTTAACATTTGAATCCTTTTGGATACACCAAGAAGTTTTGTAAGGATAGCACCAGCAAAAGCAGCAACAACAACAACAACACCAATAACAATTTAACGATGCAAATAATAAAAAGTTTCCATGAACTGCAATATTTCAAGTAGGAACAAGCAATGAAACGGCAACAAAATCAGTTGAAAATTACTTTTCTTTTCGGCAACAAACGAAAAAGTTCAAACAATTGACATCGAAAAGTTATTAAAGTCAATGATGTTGTGTTCATTGTTGTTGTTGTTGTAGTTGTTGTTTTTTTGTATCTGAAGAGCTACTCAAAGTTATAAGCAGAGCAAATAATTTGAATTTCAATTTGAGCGCCAAAGTACAAAGAAATTTATAAGGGCGTAGCATTTTGACATTTCATTATTGTGTCGGCATTTGTTGGAATTGCGAAATAATTTTGTATAAAAAAAAAATAAAGAATAAAAAGATGAAAGTTTGATTTATAGACACAATTTTCACTTTTCTCTTAAATTGAACATAAAAATTGATAAGCATTTAAAATTATATTCAAGCTGGAATATAAATAGTAACCCTCTTTCAAATTGTAGTGGAGTGTAACTATCTCCCCCAGTTTCAGAAGGTCTGAATTGATTCTAAAGAGTTAAGATAATCCAAATAGATTGAAATAGATTTTTTGAAGTCAATTCGTTAGTAATATTAACAAAAACGTTAACAGGTTTCTAAGTCAGAAGGATCTGCATTCAGATTAATTACAGACTTTTTAACAGGATATGTTACTGTTAATAATTACATTTTCAAACTCAAGAATATCAAAACCTGCAGATTTTGTGAAATGCAGAGTGAAACTTCCGCTACATTTATCTCCTGTCAATAACAAAAGAGTAAATCCACTTACTTTATGATTACTGTTACTGAGATCTTGATCACTGTTATGTCAAACATTAGTCTCAAAATATTTGGGTAAGCTCAGAAATCTTTTTATATAAATATCACATAAGATTTTAAAGATTACAGTGTACCAAAGTCTCTTCTATAGATAATGTAATATTTTTATCCATAAGTTTTTGTATGTACCTAAATGCCATTGTTCGAATTTATATTCGCACAGACATCAAGCTATATAAGGAAAAATTATTACAAAGCAAGTGTTATACCTAAAATACAATTCTGAGGGACTTTCACGAGTTTTTTAATTATGTAAATTAATAACTACAATATCCATATATTTAGTTGGCTATTTATTACATTGGTTGATATTGAAGAGTACCCACATTTTTTTATCACGAGAATATCAAATACAATGGTCAAAAACCGGTGAGCCTCCATATATGACTTCAAAATTTTGTATGACGGCAAAGAAAGTTATGTTGAGAGTGGATTAAAAGAGAATTTTTTATTATGAGCTGCTCCTTGGAGTAACTTAAAATGATGTTCGATTGAAACAATCAATAAAAAACGATTGGAATTTCCAATAAAGACCTATTTAACATATGTGCTATCATAAGAATGCCAGACCGCACACGTTTTTGATGGTAGGTAAGTAGGTTAACGTGGCGCCCTTGTATTCAAGAAAGCCCATTTAATCTCTAATAATCGCCTATTGCAGTACCACAGATATATTGTGAATATCTGAAACTTATTTTCAGAATTGCTTTTTCAAGAAACTTATGACCTCGTATGGAGTCTTATTTGCACATAGATACTTAGTTTTTGCTAAGAGCTGCTGCGATATCCAACAACTACTGGGTATCGCACCCGAATAAAAAATAAAAGTTTTTAATAAAAACACAAGAGGATTCTTTTTAGCTTCTTTTCAGGTTGTAAGACATTTAATAAATATTTTCTTGAAACCAAAAACTGATATAGAGTAGCTATTTAAGAGAGTTGAGTAATGATTGAACGTTAACTGGCATAGTGTCAAGTAGGTTCAATGTTAGTATTTGATATTAACAGAAACGTAATACACATTCCACACAAATATGCATGTTTTCTTGAAATATTTTTAAAAGTTTTTTAAATCAAAAATATTTAATTAAAACTCTATTTAAAAAAGCAGACAAATTCATTAAATCGTATGTAAACGGCAATACTTGGACGTAGGTGTATAGGTAGGAACGATTAGGTTCCCCTCTGTATTTTGATGTGTCGTTCTACTTTTAACAAAAAATTAAGTGCTTTTCTTATAATTAGTCTATAATTGATTTTAAAATGGTGCTGTGATACTTTGAATATGGGCGGAAGCTGATAGGATCAACTAATGGATACACATTAAAAGACAAAACTGTTTTTGCCATATCAGTATATCAAACCCCCCTTTAATTTCGTTTCTGGCTAAGCCCATGCGATTATATAATAATTATAATTCTGTGTTTCTACTTAGAAAAGTAGATTAAAGTACTTATCGGCGGAAATGAGTAAAATTTAATTTAAACCAGTTTTGTAACATCCATAAGTTCATTTCGAAATTAATTTATTTTAATGAAGTTCGTATTAAACTGTCAACTTCATTATTTGAATGAATTTTTTATTTTTCCTAGGAACCATATGTAACATTAAAAAATTTGCTATAAATTAGAATGAGACGATATTGTTTATTTTCAGTTTTTTGTAAGTAGTGTTTGACGACCATGATGAAAATGAATTTGTTGATTTCGATAATTGTAGTAATATTAGTTGCAAGCACATCCACATACGCATATCAATGGGTAGACTCCTTGGGACATCCAAGTTAGTAAATATAATATATACTATATTCTTTGATACTATATTGTATACATTTATTACTTTTATGTAAATCATTTAAGATTATCCGGGCCAATGCGTTTACAGAGGTGTTTTAATATCTCCAAACAGTATGTACTATCCAAGTGATGAATGCTTAACCATAGAATGTATGGATACTTCTGGAATTGCCTACTTTACATCGTAAGTGCAATAAGGTTTAAACTAAAGTTATCATTAATATATCTCATATAAATATTTTTGTTTATAGATGTGATCCAGTTGACATTCCTCCGAATTGCCAATTGAGCGATTATGAATTGGATTTGGAATATCCTTATTGTTGCGACAGAGAAACAATTTGTTATTAGTTGCTTTATAATTTATTCAATTTTTATTTATAATAAATTAAAACATGCTTAGACCTTAATTATCACCAAAATAAAATAATAAAATAAAATCTAATAAATCTGTTACTATCAGGCTGAATGTACATTAGTTTGAAATTTTATTAATTAATTAGTTTTTGTAGGTTTAGTTAAATTAATGTATGTATTACATTTGCGGTTTATGGCAATTAACTTTAATAATTAAAGCTATTTAGCCGATCAAAATTCGATATTCTTAGAACTTCTGGTTTGATATATAATATACAATGCAGATATTCAACTTTTTATCTGCCATAGTTTTCGATGTAAATAAAAAATATATAAAAATAGAACACGATTGGTTCCAAAATTGGAGGAGTTCATCTTAAAAACTATATTTAAGAAAAATTTTATTTCAATATCTCTAGCTTCAGAAAATTCAAATTGTGATCGGCTAATTTCTGCTCTGGCACACTGTGCGCTGTTATCTATAATATTTTTTTAATGGAAACCATATGTTACATTTTAAAGTTTTCTATAAATTGGAATGAGCCGGATTTTACACTATTAGTTCTCTATAAGAACTGCTTGACGCAATAATGAATGTATTCATTTCGGCCACAATTATATTAATATTAATTGCCATCACAACCGTAGGCGCAGAGAACACAGATCAATCATTGGCAGACGATAGTTAGAAAATGTAAAATGTATTATATACTAAATTATTTAAGTACATTTCTGTTTAAGGTTTCCCTGATCAATGTGTCTACAAAGGTATACCACTAGATCCTGATGACATTTACTATCCAGCAGATGAATGTGCAAGTGTAAGTTGTTTGGATTCAGATGGACTTGCCACAATATCAAGGTAAGTACAAGAACACTCTCACTAAAGTTATTATTAATATAATTGAAATATTTTTGGTAATAGATGTGAACCAATCGAGAAGG